CGGCGCGCAGCACGGGCGCGGCCCCGCGGCGGCACACGGCGGCGCCCGCCAGCGGCGCCGCCAGCAGCTGCGCGGCCGCCTTGGCGCCCAGCACCACGCCTACCACGGCCTGCGACGCACCGCCCGCACCGCCCGCACCGCCCGCGCCCTCTGTCTCGTCACACACACTACACGCTTGCCCCGGCAGATGCATCGGGTTCGCAAGAGAATACCTAACTGTCTTCCAAGGATGCAATGAAGTGTACAAATATATATGAATTCAGTCGGCACTAAATTTCTTCTGATCTGACTTACATACAACTTCATATTTACATACATTCCTTTACGATAATAGTTTTTATTTCTTAACTGTCAAACACCAAGCGGTCACCGGTGACCGCAACCTATTGTTCTATAATTGTGTCTACAAAACCGATTTATCATTTTGGCGATTGTATTTAATATATATGTATAAATATATATATATTATAAATATATATTATATGTATTTTTATTCCCAATTTATTTATTCACTTTTATAGTATTGTTATTTAGTAATATTGATAATGTATCTTATGTAATTTACATTATACCTATATATACGGATATATGTATGTATTTACAGTTATGCTTCACATAAACCATTATACCTATTACACCTACTGTTGCACATCTCTGCATCACCCCATGGTTGACTGTTAGAGAATGCCACCCGGCATTAAGTCCGCCATCGTATGTTTGTTATACAGAAGTGTTAATAAATAAATAAATAAATAAAAACCGGTACTCGACGAGTTAATATTTGCAACGAATTAATTGGGTGACTTAGGTCCTGGCGGGATTGACATCACCTAAACTGGCAGGGGGCACATAATATAGTATTTGTCAAACACCCGATAATCGTTGTGACTTGGAATAGACGTGGTCTACAATGGAGGCCGCCTCTCGTGCTATTGGAGAGGCCTATTAAGTTAGTGCTCCAAGTGCCAAGTCTTAGACAGGTGCATTGGTGTATCTAGTATCGGTAAGTAATATTATGGGTTTGTGGCACCGACTTCTAAACTTTGAATGGGTGTTGTTGGTAGCTACTGAGTAAACTGAATCAAGTTTTTATAAGACCAAATGGGACCTATTTCGCGTCGAACAAAAAAGCCACGCAAATCGGTCCACAAACCGCGGCGTTATCGATGTATGTCCTCCTTTTTGGGAAGTCAGTTAAATATTGAGGAAGTCTTCAGTCACGCTTTTATGGAAGTAACCGTAGTATGGAGGAGAGTGGGTACGAGGAATGCGTAGCGTGGACGAGTACCGGCGGCGGCGACAGCGCGTTGCGCGGTGTGGTTGAGCAGGCTGGCCAGCGGCGCGTCCTGCGTCGTCCACAGTGCCAGCGCCTCGCCGCGCACCCAGTCCGGGATGATGGGCACTGCACACACAGCGACACCCTCAGTACCGGCGACACTCGCCGGCCGCGCGGCGCCGGCACTCACCCAGCACGGTCAGCAGCACGTTGTCCAGGAAGAACGTGAAGTATATGAGCGCGAAGGCCGCAGCCCCGCCGCGCGCCTCGCCCGCCGCCTGCATCGCGCGCCGCCTGCCTCGCTACTGCCGCAGCGTGGCGCGGCGCGATACCAACAGATGTGGCTCGTTTCCAATCAGCGCGCGGTGGCGCGTGTGCGCTTCCTCATTCAATTTTCTGGTGAGCGCACAGTAATGGCGCCCGACGTGGTACTCGCTGATAGTGATAACGATGTTACATTCCATTTATGTTACTATCTTGTACTGCACACGCTACTCGACATCAGCTGGTGCCGGACGAGTGCTATACTAACCTCCGCCGCGGCTTCTGTATGTTCATTAACTTTATTTTAAGTGTAGGAGAGCCATGCGTCGGTACGAATGGGCCAGCTCGACCGCAGTCATACCACGGCCTCACAAAAAACCGACATGAAACAACGCTTGCGTTGTGTTCCGTCGAGTAAGTGAGGTTACCGGTGGCCCAATTAAAAATTGTATCATAGAACGTGTGAATAATGAATAATTTAAAGGCTAAATTGCGGGGTGCTCCATCAAACTTTCACGTCATTTTAGATAAGTGGGGGGTTAGAAGGGAAATAAAAGTAGGCTTATGTCACTTTCCATCTCATCAACTATCCCCGTTTAATAAATCACGTCAATTGGTTGCACCGTTTCGCGTGATGCGCGCACAAATAAACAGACAATAATACTAAAAACTGTTAGAACTTGTTCTGTTTCAACTTTAAGTAAGTATTTCCAAACAATAGTATAGTATTTACAAAACAAATTAGATCTTAATCCGGTAAAATGCTCTGTAGTAACCTTTAGTCGAAAGAAAAACAATGTGTCCACCCAATATTACCTCAAGAGCCATCTGCTTGGTAGACTCTATTAGATTCGTGATCTAGGTGTTGTACACGATTCGAAACTCCTATTCGACGAGCATATTGAGAAAATAATTGCAAAAGCATCGAGGTCTTTGGGTTTTATTATGAGATCGACAGCCCCATTTAAGAATGCAAAAACATTCAAAATTCTATACTGTGCATACTTGAATACGGATCGCAAATATGGAATCCCCGATATGATAAATATATTGCAAGAATTGAAAGGATTCAAAGGAAGTTCATTAAATTCTTGTGCTTTCGTTTGGCAATTCCTAATAAACCTGGGTATGATAACTATATTAAACTCTGTAAACAATTTCACTTTCTTCCACTTTATAAACGTCGCGAGATAGCTGATGTTACTTATATCCTATCCATAACGAATGGTAGAGTTGACTGCCCTGAACTCCTTGAAAAGTTGTCCCTCAATGTTCCATCGAAATCCTTTAGGAAGCACGCACCTCTTTGTGCTCCGGTAGCAAATAGTAACTACAGGCAAAACTCATTCTTGTGTCGAGCCTGTCGTACTTTTAACGACATCAGTAGCAAGCATGATATTGATATCTTTTGTACAAGCCTTAGGAAAGCTAGAACTATGATAAATGGAGACTTTTTTAATGGCTGATTTTTTATTTATTTTATTTTATTTTTTAAATATTATGTATTCACCTTTTTTTTCTTTATTTTAATTTTCTTGCTGTGTGCCTGTTTTTAATGTATTTATAATTTGTAATTTTGTCTTAGCTATTACCTATTAAGTCAGTATTCGTGTGAATCTGTAAGTGGCTCAATGTTACTATTTTTCTGCTAAATCTATGTAATGTAGCTGTTGATTCACCATTAAATAAATAAATATTTTTTTTACGAATATCTTCTATTTAAGTACCGACTTTCGAACCTCTTTAGCTTTATCAATTTTTTTTAAGGGGGGAAATCATCGATTGACTGCTCCCGCCTGGGTGGGGAGTGTCAGACGCTTACTGACTAAAAACCACCCCGTTCCTTCTCCTGCACGTCGAGCCGGAGCCCCGGTTACCCGTTAAGTTCTCCGCGACTCCGTAGCTTTATCTATAATATAATATTTTTATTATATCTGTGATGGTATATATGGTAGGGTAGTAGGTACACCATCGGAAACTATCATCTATCATGCTTTTAAAATTCTTAGCTATGTCGATACTACCCTCCTTTTTATCGCTCAGTAAATCTATTCATACATACATACATACAGATACATAAAATTGGAGTGTCTGTTTAATAAAATAGAGTAACATAGGATACTTTTATTTTTAAAAAATGAAACAAAAAAAACATATTTTAAAATTAATATCTACGCGAACGAAGTCGCGGACAACAGCTAGTTGTAAATAGATTTGATTTGATTAAAGATTCCTTTTTTTCACAAACACGCGCTCCATCATCGAACGGCAACAAATAATCGTATCTGTATCTGTATTCGGTACGTAATTATCTTGAGACGGCGCGCAGCTGCGCCACTCGGAATACTCGGATATAGACCCTTCTCATGAGAAAGTTCACTTTACATAAGTACCTAGTACTTATTTATTTATATTTCCTACACAAATATTTTATAATACAAATATAATATAATACAATATAATATAATATTCCTACATAAATATTAACCAAGTTATATGTTATGTCTTGTGGTTGTGGACAACTTCATCGTAAGTATGGATAACGAACTATATTGTGATGACTATTTTGTTATTATATCAAAGCTTTATAAGAAAGAAAACGGCATACAGATTGGGAGCATTTATAATTGACTATCTAATTACATAAATAGTTTTTGACAGAACATTCAATAAACTCTAAATCAAAATCAGTACCTAGGTTGTGTGCTGTGTGTACCTTAATGATAATAATATATACATACAGGCATAGTCAGGTTCGTACCAAAGAATGCAAAGAGTAACTAAACTTTATATTATATTGTATAAATGAAACCCGTCTCCCGTTGTTACGCCATAACTTGAGAACGGCTAGACCGATTTGGATGATTTTTTTTTTGTTGTGTTTTTTATTGTCAGGAGAAGATTCTTATGACAGAAAAAAATCGTGAAAATTCTACGCCAACGGGAGAAAATGGAATTGCACGTACGAAGTCGCGAGCAGAAGCTAGTTGTTTTATAAATTACGTTTAAGAAAACCGACTTTAACCCTTTTTTTTTTTTGAAGTCGATTAATTAATATACCTACTATAACCTCTTAAGTGTAACTTCAGCATGGAATTATAAGACATACGCTTAGTACGTTTAAAAATAAACTAAGCTACTGTTGCGATTTCCGATCCTTAATTTGAGCCTATCCACTTCAGCAATAACAAAACGCAAAGTTGCTGTCAACTGTCAAGTTAACGTCAGCAGTTTGAAGTAACTAGGGATGTGTAACAGATATTTTAAAATCAACTTGATTCATACATGAATCGATATAAATTAAATTACTCCTTACCTACCATTTAAGATATTTTTGTTATGGACTCTTAAAGATGCTATTTTATATCACTTTTGAATATAAAACTATATAAAAAGAGAACATTCTCGTAAATAAATTTACAATTTATCCCTTATTTAAGTCAGCCATTTTTGAAATAAAATACGCCATATAACTGGGCTATACAACGAATTGTATCCCTTATGGTTTTTCCGTTATTTTGACTCATAGAAACGGCAAAGACACTCGATCAGAGGTCAAACACAGAAAAAATTACTCTGTGAAGTGTTCACGGTATGAGGCGAAACTGCATTAAATTTGATTTACTTATTATATATTTTTACGCAGTCACTTTTTATCTCTAAAGAAAAAGGAAGGAAGTGAACGTAATACAATATGCACTCAGTTTTTACCAGTTATGTTATGAGTCCGATCTCCCATTCCATCAATAGGGGGTAAGCTTATTGCAGAATTACCTGCCTTCATGCTACTACAAAGAAATTATTTTTAAACTGAAAAAAAAATAGTACTATACTTCATTAGAAAATCGAACCTGAGACTCATTGCTCAGTACTCGCATTTGCAACCACTTGAATATCGAGACGATCTGATAAGACAACAATGATAAGAACGTAATCAATTTCTCATGTAGTTTTTAATTACATGATAACATTTTAGTATGCTATTAAACTGTAGTAAATCGAATTTACGACTTACAGACATGGTGACAAATTCAACTTCTGAGTTACGGTGAAGAGGGCAATTCACCCATTTAACACCCAGTTTCTTTATTCTACACATTACTGCTGACTTATAAATGTAATCCACCATAGTTTCCTCTTGTTTCCTTATACACCCTTACTATGTCAAACACCCATAGCATAGTAATTGATTAATTATCATACCTAAAAGATTAAAGGCTGACTTACGAAACTATTCATTCGATAAATGCGAGCTTAGCGTGGCTCGAAACTAACCTAGCCAAATAGATAATATGGATAAGACGTTCAAAATCATTATTTTGTTGGTTAATCGAGTAAAAAAATAAATGTTCCCATGAGTACAATAATCGATTAATTCCTATATGTAATCGATTCATTTTGTATACTATATCTAGTTGACAGCCCATCCTTATCCTTACAACTTATAATAATAGTACATAACTGTTAATGAAGCAGTCAGGTCAGTGGTCTGTGGCCAGTCATGTTGTTGCCGTCAATGGTATCGTGTGGTGGGTCGATTGGCTAGTCGAACTCTCGACACACTTCGAGACTGTGGTGTGTAGTGCGCTACGGGGAAGCCGTGCGAGTCCGCAGCGCTCATGAGAGAGTGCAGCCGCCGCCCGCCAGTCGCAGCGCGGCGCAGCGCTCGGGAGCGCCTGGACGCGCGCGTCTGCCGAGTCTAGAGCACCACGAACCACTCGCATATCTACTACCATGGTGAGTTTTGTTGTACTTAGCCTCATTCACTTTGTTATGAGCAGTTGTCTGTTTACTTGACAGTTTACTCGTTCAGGTAAATGACTCTAGCAGATTGATGTAGTCTCGAGTTAAAGGTTCTGTAACTGATGGATGAACTGCCATGAACTGTGTTCGAGGTCAAGCGAATGCTTTTTGCGAGTCGCGCTAATTGAAGTCGACATCGTGTAAGCAGTGATGAGCAAAGAGTCGTGAGATGTAACGTCGTAATGTCTGTGTTGTAACTACTTGTTTACACAACTCCCCCCGTTTTAAGTAATCACTATTAATAATCAATAAATGCTACATTCACCAGTGACCCCTTTGTTTGGTTCAGTGAAGTGTTATAAATATGCATGTTTCACCACTCAGCACCAATGCATGGCTTGTATGACACATAATATGTATGTCCAGTCGGTGTCGGTCAGTGCCGGGATGTCATCTGTTGCACACACACACACACACACACACTCACACACACAAGTAGTGTGTGTACAGTCAGGTAGAGATGTGTAGCTCTAGGTACGGAGGTAGTGCACCGCGACACTGGGGCCCACTATCTACAACAAAAACACTAAACCTATTACTACATGTATTTATAAAATAGAGGCTTTATAAGTAGGAACCAAGTAAGGAGACAATTATTGAGAGCAGAAATTCTACATAAAGTCAGTTCTTCAATATGTGGACAAAGTTGCGGACAGAAGCCAAGTGAACTGATTGTAATCTACTAGGTCCTCCCGTGCGGCTTCATCTGCTCTGCTCGGCTTCTATTGACCGTAATGTTATGTTTTATAGCATATAGCTTTCCTCAATAAATGCACTATTCAACACATAAATAACTATTGAAATCACACCAGTAGTTCCAGAGATTAGAGTGTTGAATCAAACAAACTCTTCAGCTCTAAGTATAAGATGCCCAATTGCTGACCTCTTCATCAATTCCAAAGGTGCATGTTACTTGTTTTATAAGTAGCTTATTGATTTCATGAGGTACAATGTACAATTAATTGGTGAAATAATAAATGAATGGTACCTACTTACCTAGCAAACATTTCATTTTTATCTTTAATTTTTTTCCATATAATACATGGTACAGTACCTACTAGCAGTTTGTTATATTGAAATAAATGTCAATAGCTGTTGTGCTGCAACCTAACTATTACATTCTTTTTGTCACAAGTTGTAAATTCGTCATTGAGTGCAACAGGCGGGCTCTCCTGACTGTTGCTTCGTCAATCAATGTCATGTAGGATTGGCTCCGGGGTGGTTTGGGTGTGGGCGTGAGAAATACATTAAGCCACATGCTTGCTGCATTTTAATAAACTGTCGATTGAACAGAGTTCACTCCAACCTGGTAGATACAAGAGCAAGACTGCGCAAACTTGTAGTTGGCACACCCTGCGAGCTCAGTGAGTGTCCGCTGTCCGCTCATTGTTTGTACGTTGCGCGAGTGATGCAGCGGCCTGGAACATGATTGTCTAAATGCGGGCACCCGGCACTCCGACCACGAGCCCTCGACTACTCGACTCGTACACGTGTCGAGACAATGCTACAGGACAACTTGCATTACTGTGTTGCACAAATATTTCCACGTAGCGGAGTCGGAACACAGCGCGGCACACGCGCGGAGATCGTGCGCCCGCGCCGCGCTGTTATCGATCACCACACACCGGGTCAAAACTGTGGGACCTTGAAACACTCAAAAGTAATGAAAACAATTTTTTTTCTGTAAAATGTTATACAAGGTCTCTGACTTATGGAGACGTGAGTAGAGTACGTCTACATGTTTACAGACGCACCGAGTGTAGCTTCACCACATGACAATGTTTTCTTAGGAGGAGGTGTCATGTGGTGTGTGTGTGTGTGTGTGTGTGGTTGACGTCACCCCGATGTAACACGTACACACACGTACAGACTGCCTGACACTGCCCAGTCTGCTGTACCGCGACACCTGCGTACGTGTACTAGTTCCTACTCGATGTGGAAGGGCTGCCGGCTGCCACCGCCGGCTGACTAGCGAGTGCGGGCAGTGTCGCTGGTCCTCTGTAATACACCGCGGCTGGAGGAAACTAGGAAACATTTTTTGTAATATATAACTAGCAATGATAACATTAATCAGCTATTTTCCTTGTATTAAGTAGGTACTCATAATTTATTTATGCATACCTACAATAAAACAGGCTTTTATTGCTGAATACAAATAGAAAATAATAAATAATTAACATTTGAATTAACTAAATACCTACAACGGACTCTTGATGCTTTCCAAAGCACCTATGTTTAATCGAGTCATATGAGCCTCCAGCATGGCTTGAAACTAGTCCTCGTCAAACAGTTACGTGAGTAAGCCGAAAACAATAATTAATCTCATTTGTTAAATTAATCTGGACCGGGCGATTGTTCTTTCGTCTCACTAGTTATTCGATGCGAATTCTGCCTCTGATTGTAAATAATGAGCTATCTCTTCTATACCGTCATCATTAATATGTTTAGTGGTCATGGTGGGCGCGGTGGGTCAGCTCGTCCACGGAGTACCTATTGATACACCCTTAATTCAGCTTCTCATTAGCATCACTCCGAGTCGTATACCTCACCCGAAACCCTCAGAGTCCATATGTTCATTAGCACGTCAAGTATTGGTGCTGCACTGCTGCCGGTGACGCGCGTAATCCGAGACGCCGACCGAGGCCCAGCGCTCTGACTCACCACCTACTAGTGCTAGTGCGCGAAACAGCTCCACAAAGGCCTACGATGTGACGCCTGTGCGTGTTTTGTTCACGAGAGCGCATTCTATTCACAACGTGCAGACATACGTCTAGCTACCTACAACCTGCATACACTGGACGTATAGCTATGTCGGACGTAGCTGGACGTCCACGTTGCACTTGTTTTGTATTAAATAAAAGTAAAGACAATGTCGAGCAGGTTGTCCGCAGCGCACGGCGAGGTCATCGGCCGAGGTGACGGCGCACATTTCTCAATTAGAGCTGGAAGGAGTCGAGCAATGACTGCCTCGTTACATCTTGCAGCGCGTTATTCTGCTCTGAAGTCTGACTGTAGATGATCGCATCAACCGCATGTACTTGCGCAGCGCGAGGTTCCCACGGCGGCCGCTTGTATTGTGTGACTGCAATACCTACGTGATACGTCAATCTGTTGAGTTTTGGCAACGCCATGCGAAGTCGAGGAGAGCAGACGGTACTTACTGAGTGACTAGTGGAGGCCGCATGACGTCGCGCGCCCGCGGGCGGTGAACTCACCGCGCCGTACACTACGCGCTTCTCACGATGCAATACCACTGGAATTGTTATTCAGTACCTGCGTGAGACTACCAGACAGATACTGAGCAGGGTCTCTAGCACGTGCCTAGCAGGCACTGCAGACAGTGCACGAGTGACGGAGCGCTTGGTCCCAGTCCCAGGCCTCGTACCCTCGTACCCTCGTACCCTCGTACCCTCGTACAGTAATACACAAGTAGCACGGACTTGCAGTCGCTAGTCGTATATTTTTGTAACGTCGGACACCGATCCAATGACCGCTGTCGCATGTCGCGCTAGTATGTTCATTATGTTCAGTATTATGTCCAGCGCACGCAGGACTAAATCTATTGCCCAATAGTTATCTTTGAAATCCACACTGTATACTATATTGGTGTCATTTGATGATTTCATTCCGCATAACAATCGATAAACTAAAATTATAATAGTACTTGCTAGCTATTCCCGCGCGGTTACACTCGTTCTGCTCGGCGCTTGTTGATCGTAGCGTGATGATTTATAGCGTATAGCCTTCCTCGATAAATGGTTCAATTCTGTCCATGAAATATATTTCCAAAATATTAACGTGTTTATGCAAACAAAGCAACAGACGAACTCATCAGCTGTGTACAATAACCAGCTGTTCCCCGCGACTTCGTCCGCTTGTAATAAGTAATCACTTCTGGTAGAGTTTGTCTTATCCGAGGTATAGGTGGGTACCTATGCTACGGCTGTAACAAATATTGTAAATTTATTTTCATGGTTTCAAAAAATAAACAATCCCACAGGTCCCGGTTTAACACATAGTTCCCGGTCCTGGAGATGAAACTATAATAGTTACGTCGTTTCGCAGGTCTCAAACTATAGTTGTTACATATTTCACTTAACTAGGCTGAGTGAAGGCCTGTCTTAGACGATGCCTACGTCATAACATTTACCTGCATGCCGAAATTTCAGTCCGATCCGTCCAGTAGTTTGGGCTGGAGTAGCAGCAAAAACATTATTATGCAGGAATTAGACTTTGTGCAACATGCTCGAAACATCAGTCTATATAGTTATCATTGAAAGAAAAGTCATTGATCATAGTAGTCACTGCTGAGTTCAAGCCCAGTTACAAGTAATGTAGCAGCACACAACATGTTTCTTCGACTCGTGGTAACCGCAGTCAGTGGTGGCAGTACGGGCAGTACGGGCAGTACGGGCAGTACTGCAGACTGCAGACTGCAGCTACACTCGCGCGGCGTCGCTGCCGAGGTTGGGCAACACTCGAACTTCCAACTAATTGGCGGCGGTTGGAGATGTGTGGCGGCCATATTGCGATACACAGACATTGCTCACACAGCCTCCACGGTCTGACGCAACACCAGGAACTACAGCCGACACCGGCCTTCACTCGCACTCGTCGCACTCGCTCATCACTGCTCACACCTCACGATCTTCCAATTAATGTATTTATTCAGTAAATTGCTTTAACATTCCGATAGTTAACAAACATTCAAGCACTTACACGAATATTTTTAAACCATTGCCACTCACATTAAACTGCATCCGACGTCGCGTCGGTTCAGTCCCATGTCGAGCGTCGGTACTATATCAGCGGGCGCGTGTTGCAGGTCCGCGTGGCGCGGCGGTAACTCGGAGCTCGGAGCCAGCATGGGCCCCGCCCTGCTGGGCCCCGTGCGGCGCTCGCACTGCGCTGCGCTCGCCGGCCTCGCGCTGCTCCTGCTGCTACTGCTGGCGCGTCTGCCGCCCGCCGCGCCGCCCGCGCCGCGCCCTGCCCCGCGCCCCGCGCCGCGCCCCGAACC